TAAAACCAAGAGTATTTTACCTAGCAAGGCTATCATTTAAAATTGAAGGAGAAATAAAGAGCTTTCTAAACAACAACAAAAAAAGCTAAAAGAGTTTGTTTACCAACAAACCATTATTACAACAAATGTTAAAAGACCTGCTTTAGGAGTAAAAAAAGGGGATAAAAGGAACAAAATTAGAAGATAAAATGGCAATAAATACATACCTATCAATAATCACTTTAAATGTAAATGGCTTAAAAGCTCCAATCAAAAGACATAGGGTAGCTCAATGGATAAAAAAACAAGACCCATACATAGGCTGTGGGAAAAGTAGGTTTACAGTTGTGAGTATGCAAAAGCAGAATTTATTCTTTTGTTTGTTTTGTTTTTTTAATTTTTTACTTTCTCATTTCATTTTTTCCACTATCACTTTGTTCCCTTATACCTCCCTCCCCTTCGGCAATCACTACACTGTTGTCCAGTTCATGAGTTCTTTTCAGAGTGTATTCTTGTATTATTATTTATTAGTTATTGTATTAGTCTTCCCTATGAAGAACTATAAACCTACTTTTGTGTCACCAAGTATATGCTTTCTACAAGAGACACACCTCAGAACAAAAGATAAACACAAACTAAAAGTAAAGGGAAGGGAAAGATATTTCACGCAAATGGAAGTAAAAAAAATGCTGGGGTAGCAATACTAATGTCTGACAAAATAGACTTTAAAACAAAGGCTACAGTAAGAGACAAAGAAGGACACTCAATAATAATAAAGGGAACAGTCCAACAAGAGGATATAACTCTGGTTAACATTTACGCACCCAAGATAGCAGCATCTAAATATGTAAAGTAAATCTTGATGGACATAAAGAGAAAAATAAACAGTAGGGGATTTTAATACCCTCTCTCTCTCTCTCTGTCCCCCTTCCTCTTCCTAAAAATCAATAAGAACATACCCTTAGGTGAGAATTAAAAGAAATAAAAAGATCAATGAAACTAAGAGCTGCTTCTTTGACAAGATATACAAGATTGGCAAACTTTTAACCAGACTCATCAAGAAAAAAAGGGAGAGGATCCAATATATAAAATCATTAAAAAAGAAGTGACAACTAACACCAAATAAATATAAAGAATTGTGAGAGAATATTACAAACAACTATATGCCAACAAATAGGACAATCTGGAAGAAATGAATAAATTCCTAGAAATATACCATTTTCCAAAATTGAATCAAGAAGAATCAGAGAATCTGAATAGACAGATTACAACTGATAAAATTAAAGCAGTAATCAAAAAACTTCCAACAAGTACAAGTGCTGGATCGAATGGATTTACAGGGAAATTTTACCAAACATTTGAAGAAGAGCTAACACATATACTTCTTAAACTATTCCAAAATAATTCAAAAGGAGAAAAAATGCCCAAGCTCATTTTGTGAGGCCAGCATTATCATAACTCCAAAACCAGATGATGATACCATAATGAAAAGAAATATTGTTTTTTCGGCATCGTTCCCTCTTGGACCCCTCTCCCACATACAGCACCACAACAGAGCAATGGGGGGTTGCACCACCTTGGTCAATACCTGAGGCTCCGCCCCTTACTATGGAACAGGTGTTCCTAGACAAAGAAATATGGCCCAACTAAAAGAACAAATCAAAACTCCAGAAACAGAACTAAGTGATGAAGAGATAGCCAACCTATCAGATGCAGAGTTCAAAACACTGGTAATCAGGATGCTCACAGAAATGGTTGAGTACAGTCACAAAATAGAGGAAAAAATGAAAGCTATAAAAAGTGAAATAAAGGAAAATGTACAGGGAACCAACAGTGACAGGAAGGAAACTGGGTCTCAAATCAACAACTTGGACCAGAAGGAAGAAATAAACATTCAACCAGAACAGAATGAAGAAACAAGAATTCAAAAAAAAAAATGAGGAGAGGCTCAGGAACCTCTGGGACAACTTTAAACGACCCAACATACAAACAATAGAGGTGCCAGAAGAAGAAGAGGAAGAAATTTATTTGAAAATATAACGAAGGAGAACTTCCCCAATCTGGCAAAGGAAATACAATTCTAGGAAATCCAGGAAACTCAGAGTTCCAAACAAGTTGGACCCAAGGAAGCATACACCAAGGTACATCATCTTCCATTACCTAAGATTAAAGATAAGGAGAGAAGCTTAAAAGCAGCAAGAGAAAAGAAGATAGTTACCTACAAAGGAGTTCCCATAAGACTAGCAGCTGATTTCTCAAAAGAAACCTTGCAGGCAAGAAGGGGCTGGAAGGAGGTATTCCAAGTCATGAAAGGCAAGGACCTACATCCAAGATTGCTCTATCCAGCTTAGCTTTCATTTATCATGGAAGGGCAGATCAAGTGCTTCTCATATAAGGCCAAGTTAAAGGAGTTCATCATCACCAAGCCCTTATTATATGAAATGTTAAATGGACTTACCTAAGAAAAGAATAAGATAAAAAATATGAACAGTAAAATGACAACAAACACAACTATCAACAACCAAACCTAAAAAAAAAAAACAAAAATAAAAATGAACTAAGCAAACAACCAGAACAGGAAAAGAATCAGAGAATGGTGATCACATGGAGGGTTATCAGTGGGGTAAGGTAGGGAGGAGAATGGGGGCAAAGGTACAGGGAATAAGAAGCATAAATGGTAGGTACAAAATAGACAGGGAAAGGTGAAGAAGAGTATGGGAAATAGAGAAGCCACAGAACTTATATGTATGACCCATGGACATAAATTAAGGTGGGGGAATGTGGGTGGGAGTGGGGGTACAGGATGAAGGGGAATAAAGGAGAGAAAAACTGGGATAATTGTAATAGCATAATCAATAAAATATATTTAAAATATATATGAAGTACTTAGACAACTCAACACCAAGAAAACAAGTAATCCAATTTAAAAAAATGGGTAAATGACTTGAACAGACACTTCTCCAAAGAATACATACAGATGGCCAACAGACACATGTATAAAATGCTCAATGTTACTAATCATCAGAGAGATGCAAATTAAGATCACAATGACATATCATCTCACACCTGTTGGAATGGCCATCAACAATAAAGCAATAAACAAGTGCTGTCAGGGGAGTGCAGAAAAGAGAAACCTAGTACACTGTTGTTGGGTTATAGGTTCTGTCCAGGTCAAGACACAAATGAGAACCAAGCAATCAGTGTTTCTTTCTTACATCGGTGTTTCTCTGCTTCCCTTCCTCTCTCTCTCTCTTAAAAAAAGAGAAAGAAAAGAAGCTCTCTTGACTCAGCAATCCAACTGCTGGGAATATATGCTAAGCATCCTGAAACACCAATTCTAAAGAATATATGTACTCCTATGTTCACTGCAGTATTATTTACAATAGCCAAGATCTGGAAACAGCCCAATGTCCATCAGTAGAGGAGTAGATAAAAAAACTGTGGTACATTTATACAGTGGAAAACTATGTGGCTTTAAAAATGACAGAAATCTTACCTTTTGTGACAGAATGGATGGATCTAGAGATTATTATGCTAAGTGAAATAAGCCAGTCAGAAAAATACAAGTACCATATAATCTTACTTATATATGGAATCTAATGAATAAAACAGAAATAGAATAATAGACACATGGAAGAGACTGACAGCTGTCAGAGGGGGACTGATGACAGAAGGTGAAGGGATGAGCTAAAGATCATATATACATAACCCACTGACACAGACAACTATGTGGTGATGGCCAGAGGGAATGTGGGTTGGGGATGGGTGGAAGTAGACAAAGAGGAAGAAAATGTGAATATCTGTAATAGTGTCAATGATTAAAAAAATAGATAATGTATCATTTCCTTCTAACCTTTAAAAAAGTTAAGGGAAGCAGCTTTCTTTCTGGATTATTTATTTTGTGGGTCTGTACAACAACAGTCCTCATTACAACAAAATATTTTGTAGGAGGTAACAGGAAATCCTAACATGTATTCAATCCTGTGCCCTAAATATCTTTAAAAAAATTTTTCTTTTAATTTTCACTCAAGGAGCAGTGAAAAGGCAAGTCTGAAAATTCATAAATATTTAATGATTTATAAATGATACAAATGTTTAATCGGCTCAGTTATACAATCTTAAATATTTCAATGCATCCTTAAGCAGAAAGAAGCAAGAAGGCATAACTCTTTTACATTAAATTTTAAAATTCAACTATTACTGTTGGAGAGGTTGTGGAGAAAAGGGAACCCTAGTACACTGTTGGTGGGACTGCAGACTGGTACAACCACTATGGAAAACAGTATGGAACTTCCTCAGAAAACTAAAAATGGATCTGCCTTTTGACCCAGCAATTCCATTGCTGGGACTATATCCTAAGAACACTAAAACACCAATCCAAAAGAACCTTTGCACCCCGATGTTCATAGCAGCACAATTTACAATAGCTAAGTGCTGGAAGCAACCTAGATGTTCATCAGTAAATGAATGGATCAAAAAACTATGGTACATTTACACAATGGAATTCTATGCAGCAGAAAGAAAGAAAGAGCTCCTGCCCTTTGCAAGAGCTTGGATGGAGCTGGAAAGCATTATGCTAAGCGAAATAAGCCAGTCAGTGAAAGACAAATACCATATGATCTCACCTTTAACAGGAACCTAATCAGAAACGAATAAGCAAGCAAAATATAAACAAAGTCACTGAAATAGAGGACAGACTGACAGTGACCAGAGGGGAGAGAAGAGGGAATTTCAGGGGAGAATGGGTAGGGTTTACAGGAACAAATTTAAAGGACACATGGAGAAAAACTAGGGGGAGGGTGGTAATGGGAGGGAAGTGGGGAGGGTTGGGTGGGTGGGCTGAAATGGGAGTAAAAGGGAGAAAACTGTACTTGAACAAAGATTAAAATAAATTTTTTTTTAGAAGTAAAAAAAAATTCAACTATTACATAAAATATTCTTAAGGAACTGACTTAAATAGCTCATTTAAAGGGAGGTAAAATAAAAAGATGACATTGATGTTTTACAGAACATTTACTTACTTCTGCCTTCAACTTCATTTTCCTCTAATCCTGTTTGTCTGGGGGCTATGTTAATTTCACCTGGTGGTTTCGAAGTTTCCACAGTATCAGGTATCCCAATTACGTCATCAATCATTGTTTCCAATAAGGCTGGACTATCTAGCAAATCAATATTCAGAGGCAAGCTGTAAAGGTAACAAAAAACTTACTTAGACCAAGAAATTTATCATAAAAAGAAGTTAAAATAATAACAAAAATCTTTGTTGGAAAAAATTCCGTAAGCATTCATATTCCAACTAGTTTATTCATTTGACAAAATATTTGGGGCAGATTTTTCTTCCAGCCAGGATGGAATAAATGGCAGTGAATTTCATTTCCTAGTTGAAATAACCTAACGGGTGTGGAAGGTACTGTTTTCAAGACATCAGATATCAGAAAACAAAGGCTGGTGATTGTGAAATGTGGGAAACAAATGAGGTGAGCCCTACAGTGGCCTTGAGAGAGCTTCCATGCTGTGGTGCAGAGAGTGTGATATGAGACAGAGCAAGAGGACTCCCATAGTCATTTTCTCAATTAAGAAGATGAAGCTAAGAGTCCGGGATCAAGGCAGCTAGAGTTCACAGAACAGAGTATTAGTCAGGAGAGAGCAGCACTTCAAAAAGGGACTTTTGGAGATCTGCAGAAGTTCCCCTTCTCAAGTATTCAGCAGAGTACTGATCAGAGAATGTGTGTGAGGAAACTCTCTGAGGCTAAGGAAAGAACCATTCAAAAAGGATTTCCTCCTTCCCTTCGAATGAGGAAAGTACTAGTAGCATTCACACTGGGCCACAGTGCATGCTTCTAAAAACTGTAGGAACACATAATTCACAGGGCACTGAGTATTCAGGAAGGTCTTTCCTAAAGAGTAGAAAATAATTAACTTAGACTGAGCATGGCAACAAGCCAACCTACCACATCATAAAAGAAAGACCCCCAAAGCATCAAACTGTTTTCAAATAACTTAACTACAACTTGAAACAAAGTTCAAGAAGATTTAGAGGCATATAAAGTTATCTAGCATCAGGCAGGAAAGTTAAATTTGTTAGGTGAAGAACTTGATAGAATGTCAAGCATTCACTCAAAGATACCCAGAAAGTAAAGAGGCAGAAAAAGACATCCCATACCAAAGAAAATAATCAACCAAGCGAAACTGAATAGAATTAGCAGAGAAGGACATTAAACAGTTATTATAACTGTATTCCATATGATAAAAAAGTTAAGCAGAGACATGGGAAATATAAAAAAAAATCAAACTTCTAGAGCTGAAAACTACAATATTTGAGGTGTAAAATATATTACATGGAATTGACAACAGATTAACATTAGATAAAATAATGTATTTGAAGACATAGCAACAGAAACTATCCGAAATAAAACACACAAAGAAAGAGAATCCCCCAAAATGAAAAGGTATCATTTAGCTGTAGGACAACTTCAAGTAGACTACTGTACAGGTAACTGGAGTTCCAAAGTGGGGGTGGAATAGAACAAATACCTAAAGAAATAATTGTTGGGGGAGGAAGAAGATGGTGGCGAAGTAGGTGGAAGCTGAGTCTATTTGTTCATGCACCTAACTGGGACACTTAGCAGATCTTCTGAAAAACAAAGTGAACAGCCAACAGAACCTTAGCTGATTTGAAGTTTGGAAGCCAAAATGTGCAGAGGACACTTCAAAATGGGCAGTAAGGAGGTTGTATAGGCAGATGAGGAAAGGCCAGGGGCCTGGTGCCAGAAACCACAGCTGTGCAGTGAAAACATCAGAGGAGAGCAGGTCAGTGATAGCAGCCTAGTGGCTCCCTCCCCTCCCAGGGCGGGCAAATCACAGACCTGCACCAGGAATGACTTGAACATCTAAAGTCACTGGGTAAAAACAGCACACACACACATAACTGGCGGTGCACTCAAGCTGGGGCATGGGTCTCTGGCCAGGACAGTTACAAGAGTTGGAGAGATCCTGGCAGGACCCGGAGCTGGAAGAAGGAGTGGGCAGGAACTGGCCCTGACTGAGATAGACTCTTGACTTGCCAGAGAGTTGGAGTGTGTGGAAAGCCGAGCAAACTGAGGTATGCTGGGCAGGGACCTTGTGCATGCAGCTGCCCAGCCAACAAGGAGGGAGGGTTGTGGGTACAGTTTGCTCCCACTCAATGCACATTACGGACTGATGAAAGGAGTGCAAAGCAGTGGTTTATCAGTGCCAACTGAGCACAAAGTGGATACTGCATGCTGCACAGTGCTCTGAGGGCAGTGGGCTGGGAACTGGGCACCTGTGATTATTCCAGCTCACACCGAGGCCTCTTCCCTGGAAGAACCAATGCAAAGGGGAAACTGAACCCAATCCCCCATTGCCTGCATGAGCTGGGAACATCTGCAACACCGGGTGGGCAGGCTTAACAACCAACAGGGGGCTCCCCCACCTTTGAACTCCCTACAGGGAGATAAAGTACCTGGGCCCTAGGTCCCTATTTCACCGAGGCCATCGAAACAAGAAGTTAAGGAAGTGTGCAAGGGGGGTTCAGGGCACCACCCAAACTTGCCTAGCAGGTAGAGCTGCAGACTATGCCAAGCAGGAGAAAGCTGAGGCTCTTACACAGATTGTCCTTCCCCACCTCCCCCGTTGAAACAGACAGCTATTTAGGCAGAACCTATACATTGTTGGAAATAAACTGGAACAGATTAACACAAGAGGATAGAAGCAGAGGAATGCACCCACAATTTTCCCAGACTGAACAGTGCCTCCTAGGCGAGACACAGACCTCCCAATTACAACAGAAGCTCCCTCTACAGGCAGAGGACTAAGATACAGGCAATGTTGCCCAAAGTTAAGACAACCCACCCGGGATCTGGAGCTTACAGAAAACCAGAGATGGATCCAGAAAAAAAGACAAAAGACGAACACCAACACCTGAGACAAATTGCACCTTACTCTTCATCAGAACTTGCTTATTTTATTTCTTTCTTTTAGTTTTGTCTTTTTGTTTTCCTTCCTTTCATATTGCATTTTAATTTTTCTTCTTTCACTTCACTCGTATGCCAAATAACACTACTCCTGATCTTTTACTTTTTATTAAGATCACTTTTTTCATATTATTGTTATTCCAAATCCCACACAGCACTCTCCCCTGGTGCACCTGCACCATGTTCCTATCCCTGACTCTCACTATTTCTCTTCCATCTAACCTCCCATAAGTGCTCTTCTTTCTTAAGTCAGTTCATATTCTTTTTCCCCTTTCATGAGAGTCTTAACTCCTTTCCACCTTTTATAAAGTGGCTAGTTTGGTGAAATATTGTGATTATTGCTATACTTCTATGGAAACCCTATTTGTACTTTAAATCCCATGAATACTCTCCCCATCCTACTCCATTTTGCCTTCCACCTGCCCCAATCCATTGAGTGGGGAATTTTATTTCATTTTTCCCCCCTCTCAACCTTGGCTTTATTCCCTACTCTTATTAGTTTGCTTTCCCCATAATAAAAAATCATTTTTATTTACTGTAAACATTTCATATTCACTTTTCACATTTGTACAATATTCCTATACCTATTCCACCTTTATTAAACTTCATTCAACTGTTGTTGCATTTGATCCTGCTGTGATTTTTCTGCAATTTTGCCCCCAATGGTCCAATACCTTTTCAATTTTACTTCAAACCTCATAGTCTTCTCTTCCATTTTCTTACCCCATTGGTCCCATTGCTCTTCCATGTTATATTTATGTTTTAAATTTTGTTTTCTACATTTTTTCACCCTACTCTTCTCAATTTCCCTCCCTCTTCCCACACAATAACATTTTCCCCTTTTAGTCATCCCATATTCCCTTTGTCATATCTTATAATATTTGTAATGTCTCTTCACTTTTATTAATTTTGCTCAATTGCAGTTGAGATTGCTGATGTGGTAGGGGGATCCTTTTTGCTGGCATAGGTTTTGTTGTTTGGTAATCGTGCTTTGTTAACCAACACATGTACAACAGCATACAAGACAAGGTGGAAGCTGTGACTACCAGTAAGCCTACTGGAGGGGAGAACCCAAAAACAAAGAAGCTACCAACAGGTAAAGCCTTAGTACAACAGGAGAGATGACACAAAGAGAAGAAAGAGCAACCCCAGAGCATCCAGACAAGATCAAAAAGGATGTACCACTGAGTCCCATAGAACTCCTACCACAGAAGACCACCCCAGGAAGACAGGCAGGCAAAGCAAAACACCCTGAGAAGCAGAAAAAAAAAACAAAAAGAGTCACCTAAAATGGGGAGACACAGAAAGAACCCCCAAATGAAAGAAAGGAGGAATCCCTGGAAAAAGAGCTAAAGGAAATTGAGGCAAGCAATCTATCAGAACAGAGTTTGATGGTTACAAGGGTGCTCAAGAAACTCGGTCACAACTACAAGGAACTGAGTGGGAAATACAACAGCATGAAAAAGGAAATAGAAACTATAAACAAGAACCAGGAAGAAATGAAGAATACAATATCTAGCCCTGGCTGGCGTAGCTCAGTGGACTGAGCGCGGGCTGGGAATCAAAGTGTCCCAGGTTCGATTCTCAGCCAGGGTACATTCCTGGGTTGCAGGCCATAACCCCCAGCAACCGCACATTGATGTTTCTCTCTCTCTCTCTCTCTCTCTCTCCCTCTCCCTCCCTTCCCTCTCTAAAAAAATGAATAAATAAAATCTTTAAAAAAAAGAAAATTAAAAAATACCTTTAAAAAAAAAGAATACAATATCTGATATAAAAAATACAGTAGAGCCCTGCCTGGTGTGGCTCAGTGGATTGAGCGCCAGCCTACAAACCAAAGGGTTGCAGGTTCAATGCCCAGTTAGGGCACATGCCTGGGTTTTAGGTCAGGTCCCCAGTAGGGGTGCATGAAAGGCAACCACACATCACTGTGTCTCTCCCTCTCTTTTCCCCCCTTTCCCCTCTGTCTATAAATAAATAAAATCTTTCAAAAAATACAGAAGAAATTAAAATTGTGCTTGATGAAACAGAGGACTGAATTAGTGACCTGGAAGACCAGCTAGAAAGAAATAACCAGGTAGAACAAAAAAATGTAAAAAGACTCAAAAAGTATGAGAACAGTTTAAAGGAACTTCAGGACAATATGAAACATAACAACATTCACATCACAGGAATACCAGAAGGAGAAGAAAAG